TCGACGCGTCGTCCCGGCTCGTTGGAGAGTACAATGCGCGAAAACATCGCACTATCGGTATGAGACCTATCGATGTTACCCCTGCGATCGCCGATAAACTTTTAAATACAGTATACAGCAACGTAAAGATTGCGGCACCGGCAAGATTCAAAGTAGGCGATCCGGTACGCGTGAGTAAAGTCAAGACCATCTTTAAGAAAGGTTACACGCCAAATTGGTCGACCGAAGTGTATAAGATTGTTAAAGTGCAGAAAACTAATCCCGTGACCTATGTACACAAAGATTCATGTGGAAATCCCGTCGCCGGCGGATTTTACGAATACGAGTTACAACGCGTTGCTAATCCCGACGTACATCTCGTGGAAAAGGTGATACGCAAAAAGGGTGACAAGGTTTATGTGAAATGGCTGGGATTTGATGCAACACACAACTCTTGGGTAGATACAAATAATATATTATAAATATAAACAATATTGTACACTTTATAAAATATACATATAATTTACAATAAATATACGTAATTTTTATTTACGATAAATATACATGATTTATATTTACAATGGTATTTCATAATGTCCCCACGGTAGCGTGTCGGTGGTTTTACGTTCTATAAATAAAACCATGTCGATATCTGTAAGCAACTCGAATGTAATATTCGTATGCTTCAACATGGCGTCCCACGTGTATCCGGGAAGAGTGTAGTTATACGCGGGGTCGAGCCCATAACTTTTAATACAACTTTCGCGGAAATTTTCAAAAATGTCTGCTAATAACAAGACATCAATTTTGAGATACAAGTCGCTATATTCACTCAGCGTTCGAATGGAGAACCGCTTTCAGACGCTCTCGGCGTGCGCGTAATCGCTCTCGGATATCGTGTCACCGGTCAAGGAACTGTAAAATGATTCGCGCGGTGGTAAACACGTATCTTGCAACCTGTCGACGCAGTCAATATATTCGTACGGAAAGACGCCCTTCCATGTTAATAAATTAAAATTGTCATTCGGTAAATTTTGAAATTCAGATTTTAAAATTGTGAGTTTGTCTTTATTCAAGAATGATGCCAATTTATCGAGACTAGCTGTGAGAAATTTATACGAATCGATAAAACGCAATTTAATATGATTTTGTGATTTCTCTCCGCCAAGTTTAACATTTTTCGTAAACGATATATATTTTTCCTTTATAACAAGACATCAATTTTGAGATACAAGTCGCTATATTCGCCCAGCGTTCGAATGGAGAACCGCTCCCACACGTTCTCGGCGTGCGCGTAATCGCTCTCGGATATTGTGTCACCGGTCAAGGAACTGTAAAATGATTCGCGCGGTGGTAAACACGTATCTTGCAACCTGTCGACGCAGTCAATATATTCGTACGGAAAGACGCCCTTCCGTGTTAATAAATTTAAATTGTCACTTGGTAAATTTTGAAATTCAGATTTTAAAATTTTGAGTTTGTCTTTATTGAAGAATGATGCAGTAGTATTAGTATGCGGGTTCTAAGTTAGGTCCTCCGAGGGGAGGTGAGGGACGGGGAGTCCCGCGCGGGCGAGGAGGCATGACGTCATGCGGGCGGAGGGGGATTTTGGCGGCGCGGGGGAATGACGTCACGCGGGCGGGGGAGCTTATCGCGGGAGCATAAACAGCGCGGTGTATTACAAAGGGCGAGTGCCGATGTCCGGCTGCTCGAATTTATAAACATTATAAACAAATATCGTCTCGCACTATTGCACGTGCGGCATTATTGAATTTCGTAGAAAGATGATAAGGCTAGCGCCGATGTCCGGCTGCTATAATTTATTATAAACAAAATAGAACCATCGCGGTGGTCTCTTCATTTTTTTCCAGGAGGAGCCGCTCGCGCACTATTGCGCGTAACATTAGAATTAGATGATAAGGCGAGCGCCGATGTCCGGCTATTTATGAATAATATAAACAAGATAGAACCATCGCGGTACCATAACGCGATAGATGAAAAATATATAATGAAGAACGAAGGGTGTCAAAAACTTAGTATGCGATTTGAAAGCTTGCGGTCCGTATATCAGTTGAAAAAGATACAGTGGGTACATGTATTTGTGTGTGTGTGTGTGTGTGTGTGTGTGTATGTGTGTCAAGTGTTCGGTATAGAGGAAGATTTTGTGATAATCTGCACAAAAATGGAAATAGATAATAATTTCGAGGCAGTATTAGATGAGTCGTCCGACGAAGATCAAATGGAAATAGAGAATAATTTCGAGGCAGTATCAGATGAATCGTCCGACGGGGCGACGCGTGGCGCCGGGCGTAGAGTCGCGGCCTGATAATCGAGAGATTCCAGGTTCGATTCCGCTCGGGTCCCGTCCTTCCCACATGCCTCAAAAGAGGTTTTTCCGCAAATTATCCTATCAAACTCTATCCTTCCACTTCCCCATATGCCTTAAAAGAGGTTTCGTATTATCCTATAAAATAATTTCTCCCAGAAACGTATACTTACTGATACTCACTATATATAACCTGTTGATGGCCAGAATTTGTGATCCACCCTTGATCACAAGAGGCCAATAAATTGAAAGAGAGAGAGAGAGAGCGAGCGGTATACCGTACACATTGTCCACCGCATAATCGCTGCTATCGAATCTGTCGACGTTGCGCTTTATATTCTCATATACGTCTTCACACTCGATGTGATATATGAGACTGTCGGTGTCGGTAATCTGCACAAAATTGGAAATAGATAATAATTTCGAGGCAGTATTAGATGAATCGTCCGACGAATATCAAATGGAAATAGAGAATAATTTCGAGGCAGTATCAGATGAATCGTCCGACGAAGATCACGCATTGTCAGATGACAGTGATTACAAGAGCGATCAAAGCGAGAACCTTAGAGAAATTGTTGACAAGATGATGCCTCATTCGCAAATTATTGCGCTAAATGGACGTACAAAGTGTTGCGCTATATACTTTTATTATACCACGCGTGGTTCTTTTGCTGTATGTGCTTCGTGTATGATCTCTATAGCAGACACCGATGCCGGGTACATGTATGCTGTTCGGAAGCATGTGATTAAGATATACGACGCGATAAGTGGCCGGTCCTGCTCCAATTGCAGACTTCCGATGTATCAGATCTTCCCAAAAATTGCAATATGTGCCCAATTTGCACACAGTAAAAAAAACTGTCATAAAAAGTATGAAAAAATAATAATAAAAAAACATGGAAAACACCGAGCAAACCGAACGCGACCTGTTGGAGCTATCGCACCGAGTCGCTACCTTGGGCGAGTATTTCGCGTGGGCGCAGCGATGCGAGGAATTTATCAAACAGCTCGAAGAACGCAGCCGTGTCAAGCGTCCGCGACTCTCGATCGGAGTTCGACAATCTTTGGTGGCTAGAATCGCGCGACTCGAGGGTACGAGGACTCGATTAGAGAGATGGTTTATACATAGCGGTGGTGATTACAGTGGTGACAATAACGCGGAAAGACTCGTTTGGCGTGAGATCGATACCGCGTTCGAAAACCGTATACTGACCGGTGCGGTGATTAACGCAGACTATATCAAACCGGGAAAATTTCTCGAGGACGCCAAAGACATTGTGCTCGAACACGTGTAAAAAGTTATGGAAAGATACTTTAACGTGAAAGTGTTATACTGTGTTCAACGGTGAATTCGTGTCGGGTGATAAAAGCGCCAATAAGAGTATCAATACCAAAAACTATAAACTCTTTCGCACGTTCGATCTACACGAGTGGTACGAGCGACGCGTCATTGAGCCCACGCTTGCCTCGCTAGAAGAATTTCAAGAACGCGACAGCGGGTGGGCTTTGTCGCGAATCCTCGATTTAACTGTAAATATAAATAAATATAATCCAATGCGCGCGGGGTGCCATATTAAATTACCGCGAGAAATAATAATGAAGAGAGCGGTGATAAACGTGCAATCCAAAGACAATGCGTGTTTCGCGTGGGCGGTGGTCGCCGCTCTATATCCAGCCGAAAGAAACGCGGATCGGGAATCTTCGTACCCGCATTACACAACAGTGCTGAATCTCCAGGACATTGAGTTGCCGGTGACTGTTAATCAAATTAAAAAGTTTGAACATCATAACGATATTTCGATAAATGTATACTGCATCGAGAAAGAGAATAGCGTTGTCCCGATACGTCTGAGCGAACAAAAGAAGGACAGACATGTCAACTTGCTGTACGTGCAAGATTCGCAAGACGTCGGACATTTTGCGTGGATCAAGAATTTATCCCGCCTCGTGAGCTCGCAACTGAGCAAAAAAGATCATAGGAAATATATCTGCGATCGGTACGTATATTTAATAAAAATGCAATATATAAAATATACGAAAGAAAAATTAATTATTTCTTTTTTTACAGATGTTTACACTATTTTGGATCGGACGACAAGTTGCA